CACCAATCTACAACACAAGTCACCAATCTACAAATACAAGTCACCAATCTACAAATACAAGTCACCAATCTACAACACAAGTCACCAATCTACAACACAAGTCACCAATCTACAAATACAAGTCACCAATCTACAAATACAAGTCACCAATCTACAACACAAGTCACCAATCTACAAATACAAGTCACCAATCTACAACACAAGTCACCAATCTACAAATACAAGTCACCAATCTACAACACAAGTCACCAATCTACAAATACAAGTCACCAATCTACAACACAAGTCACCAATCTACAAATACAAGTCACCAATCTACAACACATGTCACCAATCTACAAATACAAGTCACCAATCTACAAATACAAGTCACCAATCTACAACACAAGTCACCAATCTACAACACAAGTCACCAATCTACAAATACAAGTCACCAATCTACAAATACAAGTCACCAATCTACAACACAAGTCACCAATCTACAAATACATGTCACCAATCTACAAATACAAGTCACCAATCTACAAATACAAGTCACCAATCTACAACACATGTCACCAATCTACAACACAAGTCACCAATCTACAAATACAAGTCACCAATCTACAACACATGTCACCAATCTACAAATACATGTCACCAATCTACAAATACAAGTCACCAATCTACAAATACAAGTCACCAATCTACAACACAAGTCACCAATCTACAACACAAGTCACCAATCTACAACACAAGTCACCAATCTACAACACAAGTCACCAATCTACAACACAAGTCACCAATCTACAACACAAGTCACCAATCTACAAATACAAGTCACCAATCTACAAATACAAGTCACCAATCTACAACACAAGTCACCAATCTACAACACAAGTCACCAATCTACAAATACAAGTCACCAATCTACAAATACAAGTCACCAATCTACAACACAAGTCACCAATCTACAAATACATGTCACCAATCTACAAATACAAGTCACCAATCTACAAATACAAGTCACCAATCTACAACACAAGTCACCAATCTACAAATACAAGTCACCAATCTACAACACATGTCACCAATCTACAAATACATGTCACCAATCTACAAATACAAGTCACCGATCTACAACACAAGTCACCAATCTACAAATACAAGTCACCGATCTACAACACATGTCACCAATCTACAAATACATGTCACCAATCTACAAATACAAGTCACCGATCTACAACACAAGTCACCAATCTACAAATACAAGTCACCGATCTACAACACAGGTCACCAATCTACAAATACAAGTCACCGATCTGCCAATCAAAAAAGAATACGAATCTACCAATATAATAACCAATCTACCAAAACAAGTCACCAACTTACAACACAAGTCACCAACTTACAACACAAGTCACCAACTTAACAACACAAGTCACCACTATACCAACACAAGTCACCAACTTAACAACACAAGTCACCAACTTACCAACACAATTCACCAATTTACCAACACAAGTCACCAATTTACCAACACAAGACACTAACTTACCAACACAAGTCACCACTATACCAACACAAGTCACCACTTTACTAACACAAGTTACCAACTTGCCAATACGAGTCACCAATTTACCAACACAAGTCACCAACTTAACAACACAAGTCACCAACTTACAACACAAGTCACCAACTTAACAACACAAGTCACCACTATACCAACACAAGTCACCAACTTACAACACAAGTCACCAACTTAACAACACAAGTCACCACTATACCAACACAAGTCACCAACTTACCAACACAAGTCACCAACTTACCAACACAATTCACCAATTTACCAACACAAGTCACCAACTTAACAACACAAGTCACCACTATACCAACACAAGTCACCAACTTAACAACACAAGTCACCAACTTACCAACACAATTCACCAATTTACCAACACAAGTCACCAATTTACCAACACAAGACACTAACTTACCAACACAAGTCACCACTATACCAACACAAGTCACCACTTTACTAACACAAGTTACCAACTTGCCAATACGAGTCACCAATTTACCAACACAAGTCACCAACCTACCAACACAAGTCACCAACTTACCAACACAAGTCACCACTATACCAACACAAGTCACCACTTTACTAACACAAGTTACCAACTTGCCAATACAAGTCACCACTTTACTAATACAAGTCACTAACTTACCAACACAAGTCACCAACCTACCAACACAAGTCACCAATTTGTCAACACAAGTCACCAACTTGCCAATATAAGTCACCATGCAACCTATCAATATACATATTTCCGTTTGCGTAAACTAAACAAACAAGTAATTAGACTACCGGTAAACGTCACCAATCACCCAATACCAACTTCCATCCGTCGCATATAAACCGACATTATATCTATCGGAGGTACCTTGTCAACCATGTAGTATAAAAAAAGAAGCAAAAATGCCTTAATGCCAGCATCTGTATGGAAACCTCGCTTAGAATCCCCTCAAAATTAACATCTCGCTATTAAGACCACTATTTTTTTTGTATTTTAAACTCCATTATCAATTAATATAAGATTTTAAGAAGTATCAAAAACCAATTTTACACCGAATTAGTGATACATTCTACTGTGTATATCTGCCGGGTGTCAGGTGAACTAGCTTTAAAACTGGCTTCCCAGCTGTAATAATTAAGTATTTAAATCTAAGGACTGAAAAAATAGGAAAAAAGTGGTGGTATAGTAAGTCTGTATGCTTGTTAATACTCGCTGTTCAAACCATCCCGAGATTTTAATGGTTTACACAAGACCTTTCGTCTTGAATCAAAACGAAAATTGTTTCCATACTTAAATAATAGACCTTATACGTAAAATCGTTTTTTAAGAGATAGCACATCTAACGATCTAAGTTGAAACTACATACCTCTTTAGTAGGATAAAAAATGTCCTTTCTGAAGGTTTGGTAACAATACTAGTGCCCGTGTGTGTGTCGGCTATCCCATATCCTACAGCGTACCGCCTCACTTATCAATATACACAAAACACTAATTGATTACAGTGAAATTCATACCCTGAAGTCATCGATGTGCATTTCTACACTGGATAACTATCTGAGTCTACGTATTTAAAAGTCCTTTAAATAACGTTCACAACACGAGCCGATATTAGAAAGGTGTTCGGTCGCTATGATTCCTCGCTTACATACTACTGGGCGGCCATCTGTATTTGTTGTAAAACACCAGCTTCAGTGTACCTTGTTCGATTGGTCTTTTTGAGTGAATATTGAATACGTCAACAAACGTATTTATGTTTACCTAGCCTCACTCGAGCAATGGCGTGCTAGCTTGACAGCTTGTCCTATTACAAAATAACGAAACACTAATACACACCTCTTTCAAAATAAACGTTTCATTTTTTGTTGATTTATCTTGTTTTATTTCAATACATTAAACAGCATAAAATTTACGGCATGTATATCAACAATTGTTTACAAAAGCGAGGAAATCAATGTTTTTCTTGAGTGCTTAAGCTGAGGCGTTCGTTACATTCCATATCCAATAGTAGAAATCCTCTCGCAGTAATTTACTTATTACAAATATCAAACAATTCTGAGAGAACCTTTGAGATTAATGTCAACATTATATAAAAACACTAATTCGACTTCTGTAAATCTACATTGATCTGAGGCGCTACACTTGGTGTGGATACAGTTGAGACCATACAATCTGTATCCACCCGGCGTTTCCTGGGTATAGTCTCCACGTAGTGCTGCTTACTGCCCGAGGTAATACAGGTACATTTATCTATTCTGAGTTCTTACTATCCAAATAAATAAATACAAAACAAACCTTAAACACAGGAAGTTAAAAATTAATATCCATTTGTGATAATCATCGATTTCAAATAAATTTTCGGTACAAACACTTCTCAATACGTCAAATAAAGCACGCACAGCGCTGCCCCCCTTACTTCCTGCACTACTGATGAACTACCGTCGCCATACATTTGGCGCCACGAGTACATTTAAGGCGTAATAAAACTTCCGCCACCATTAACAACACAAAACTGAAGCAAAACTTTCTGGACTATCAACAAACTTCGGTACTATTGACAAAGTCAACGTCTTACTTCCAAAATTCACTAACTACTTTCCCACAATCTATTTCTAGCCACTTTCCACATCCAAGGGTTCCGATCTCGTGGATATAAACCCTGGATTTCGAACAAATTACACAACCAACGTTCACATTTCCTTAACAGTGGACCATGGTCATCCCCAATACCCTACATTCACAAATCCAACATTTACATTGAATTTCCTATAACCATCGCCTACATTCCCAAATCCAACATTTACATTGAATTTCCTATAACCATCGCTTACATTCCCAAATCCAACATTTACATTGAATTTCCTATAACCATCGCCTACATTCCCAAATCCAACATTTACATTGAATTTCCTATAACCATCGCCTACATTCCCAAATCCAACATTTACATTGAATTTCCTATAACCATCGCCTACATTCCCAAATCCAACATTTACATTGAATTTTCTATAACCATCGCCTACATTCCCAAATCCAACATTTACATTGAATTTCCTATAACCATCGCCTACATTCCCAAATCCAACATTTACATTGAATTTTCTATAACCATCGCCTACATTCCCAAATCCAACATTTACATTGAATTTCCTATAACAATCTCCTACCTTCTGAAATCTAACTTCAGCAACCACCGTACAGACATCGCCCGAATAATTACATACAATGTAAATTCCCACAACTGTCGCCAACATTTCCTGGCTGTTTCCCCTGTATTTTTTTTGTTTCTGACATTTTATAAAACTTTGTTGTAATAAAAACAATTAATATCGGTGAAATGCCGAGAAATTGATAAGAAAATTAAATGCTCACAAGTCCAGTATTTACAAACGGAAGACCTTTAAGTTATCCTTTGTCTACTCTGGTGTTTAATATATACCTTACTTACCGTACACCAATGTCATCCGACACATCCTTTTCCATGACGACTAAATCGAAACGTAGGTTTTATTCTTCGCGGTGATATGCTATCAACTGAAACTTGGTGTTACAAACATATTCTGGAACACAGAATTTTGATATTTCGGACATAATCCTTACATTGATTATCAACAGTCCACACGTTGCTATTTCATCGTGTTTGGGGGGTAATTTTTGAACACATACTTTTTTTTTACATTCTATTTCGAACAAGCACACATTACAAGTCTCAGAATCTGTTGTATAGACTTGTCTTCCTCATAATTTGACATCTGATACGCATACTAGAGGATTTTATGTATTTCATTAGGGCAAAGAACAAAATTATTATCGATTTCTGTCTGGTTTCCATGGTAATTAAATCTCGAAAACACGTCTTTAGCTGGCGACATTAGTGGTGCGGAAGTACATATCATTACATCTGTTCGTTCGGTTATGGTCCATCTACGGTATAGCAGTTACCACACTGGACAGGTATATCAATAGGTCTCCAAGGAGTAGATGGTCATTGGTCAAACGGAAACGATCAGCACGGACGCGCCAAACAGTTGTAGGACATGATAGGATATAGATATGAGTTTTGGTTTCAACACGTGACAAAATTTGAACATGTCTTCCGAAATCAGAATCTCCTGTTGTTTAAATAAGTGTCAACAATATATAATTAATTGCCGGTGAGTCGGTGATATAATAGTGTTGAAGACAGAATTAGGAGAATATATAGTAAGAATGACAGGTACAGTTTAACCATACGATAAAACATAAACTCACCTCGTTGTTATGTTATATATCACCACGAATATCTACAGCTCTTCACACTGAGCTTTATACAGGTCTGACAAGGTCTAAGTCAAGCTGGTCTCAAGTTTCTCAATGTCTAATTAATTCTGTTGGATTTAGATGACGTATTCGCTATGGTATATACATTCTTTACGTCGTGGAGAGACCTTGGATATCAAACGCGTCGGAATTGAATTAAATACTCCATGTCTTCATTACAATCAAATACGTTCAATTATGTATTTGAGTTTTGAATGAAATCCCCGTCAAGTCTAGTGAAAAAAGCCCGATTCAGCTCACCCGACACTGAATTGAAAGAATACAGCACGAGGGTTTTACTCTGTCACAATACTGGTATTCAGTTATAATATGAATCTGGACATGTCTTTTTAAACCAGATTACCTTACGCTATGTTTAGATGAGTTTAATACTTTTACATGACCATAGATAATACTTAAATAGGGACGATAGAAAATACTACAATGGTACACTATAATCACACAGTTCTATACATCATCGAATCGATATACAGGTCGATGTAGTACGGTGTTCAGATTAAAAATGATTAATTCGTTCGTCCGTCCGTCCGTCCGTCATCGGGTACGGAATTAAGGAAGTAAACGTTTGCGTGTGAGTATTTCTTGATCAGTCGGTGTTACGTTCTTGAACTGGTGTATAGTGATGCACTTCTTGATAAAAATCACATTTTTATTGAAGACACAAAAACTCAGACAAGAGGCCTATGGGTCTTCACGGTCACCTGCTTATATAGACCTATATATGATAACAGTAGTAGTAGTAACTGTCATTAAATGATTAAAGCATTTCGGAAATTTTAGTAATTAAGGGCAAATTTCATTCCTCATTTCAGTTTCAACATTCCCACGAATTTCAGCTCAATGGCACCAACAGAAGTTGAGAAAGGAAATCAAAATGTGTTTTTTAAGATGGCGGCCATACTGGATGTCCCGTAGACTAACCCGAAAAAATAACTCAGGACCGTCTCAGAATAATTTCAGGTTGATTTCTGCTGATGGAACTTGAGCAGAAAATTAAAATAGGTGTTATTCAGGGAAACCATGGTTGGCGCAATCATGTTTCAAAATGGCCGTCATGGCTTCCATATTGAACTCTAGACGAGGCCTAATAATAACAACACCTAAGGCAAGTTTTAACCGAATCCCACAAGATGAACGTGAGAAAAAGTATTAAGTATGAAATTTTTACAAACAGTGGGCGGCGCACGACGATAATATGTCACCCTGACTCTGCGGATCTGAGGACCTCAAACGAACATTTGACAGGTGTTTAAAGACCATAGGTTGCCGAAGATACTTTACATCTTATACAACCGTCGAAAGCCATCACAAATTATGGCATGGCGTTGTCCATCCGTCATTCTGTTCATTGAATCCTGTTTGTGCAGACTATCACTTCATCGATTCACGATGGGTTGATCCTCTTTGTGACATACGTATATGAATAATTGACCAATTGAATAAATATTGTTTTACATAAATGCGTCTTAATTAGGATGTGGTGTTGTGTACTTGACTAAAAACAAAGCCCAATTGTTTTCTTTGGTCCATTATTTCGTTAATTTCTGACAAGTAGCTACTGCTTTTTAACAAAAATATACATTTCAATCTTCTCGGGCGCCGCAGCTTCTAAATGACAAGAAGTAAGGCTGGGCAGAGTTGCTTCCCTTCCCATATCTCTTTGGATGACGAAAGTAATATACTGAACTTTAACAGAGAAATATATGATATCATACCGTAATTTAGTGGAGAAACAATAAGTATGGTGGTGCAAGCGTATGTCGTAAAAACCACGCCTAGAAAGTAGCTTCCCAGAATATCGGATAGATAGCGGTTCTAGCCTGTTTTCTCCACTAATTTAACATCCTTTGTTCCATCTAAATCTAAATCCATGGTATCATAGTAATACCCAAACCTTAAAACAGGGTACTAGAAATGATAGATTGTATGATGTATTTTTTTTTTGTTTTTAGTTCGTCTCTGTATTATATATTGCAGTTTATGGAGTACATTTCTAATTTGATAATTTTTACATTAATTTTCCTGTGCATTTACTCCATTTACAATTTTCACTAAAGATAAGACCTCATCCCAATACAATTTTTTAAATTAATTTTCCTGTGTATTTATTCCAATTACAATTTCATTAAAGATAAATCCTAACCCCAGAGCAATTTTTACATAATTTTCTTGTGTATTTACTCCAGTTGCAATTTTCATTAAAGATAAGTCCTAATTCCCTACGTGCTTACAATTATAAGCAGCGTGCACACTTCTATTGTTAACTAGTCTATATATAACGAGATCACATTCAGTGCTTGAAATGATACAAGTGTCTTTTCCATTTTCAAACGCGTCTAAAGTCTTTGTTGTGTAGTGTCTTACGACTGTGTATAGGCTGTGTACAGATCATTCATCGTCTTGCTTCGAAGTGTCGGCGATAATTGCTTTTTTTTCTGATAATGTAACTGATAACCATGTGCCTTTTTAAGCTTGTCTTCTGTACCTATAGTATCTATATAGGTCAGTGTTAGCGACCCCACTGTTACCGACTATAACTTACAAGTGCATCAATTACTGTTTCGGTAATGACTGTAGTACAGAAATCACAACGACACTGAGAGTATAACGAGAATACATTCTTACGCAACAGACGTCAGCAAAATGGAGACGAGGTCAACTGCAAACGAAAAGACAGTTTTATTAACAAATGAATGGCCCATTGGTACGATTAGCAGAGAAGACATCAACGAAGAGACGAATATCACTGGCAACGAAACGAACTATCCACAACGACACCACCCTACTGTAAAAACAGGAGAAAACAGTCAGACAGAAACTCCACCACTTCCGGTGGACACGGAACAGGCAAGCTCTAGGTTGCAGACAACAAATGAAAATGTTTCCCAGGAGGATGGGGAAAACAGGGGAGAAGAGCAAAGGGTATCACAACCAGCAAAGGTCGAAACTGGAGGTACGTATCATGGAGGTTCATTCACACAGCGTGTGTACATCTGTCTGGTGATAACATTTTACTACTTTGCAATAATGATGGACGACGAGGCATGGCCACAACTCGTTCACAGTCGAGTGGTAAAGAACTTGGGGGCTAATGGGTCACATACGGAAGGCGGAGGGTGTCCAGTTAACTTCATATTTTCCAACAACACAAATGTTAAGGTGCAACAACGGAGTGCAACCATCAACACTTATTCCCTAATGTCCGCATATATTCCAGCAATTTTCTCTAATGTTATGATCGGCAGACTGACAGATAAATGCGGGAGAAGAATCGGTTTGTATTTAGCCATAGCTGGCGCTGTTTTGAAATACTCCATCATTGCGATTTGCATTCATTTCGATTTGAACATTGACGTATGTTATATCGGTTTTGTACTTTACGGTGTATCTGGAACGTACACCGTTATATCACAAACTTCAAATGCTTATGCCGCTGACATAACCGTGGCAGGAACGGATCGCAGTTTCTTCTTTTCGATAGTATCCTTCTTCAGGGCTTTAGCAACTCTACTGGGTCAGTTTGTTGCTGGTTATATTATACAGTATGTAGGACAATTTTACATTTATATCATTGCAATTGGAACAATGACCTGTGCGTTTATCATTGTTACTGCCTGTTTTTCGGAATCGAGAACTAACCAGCAACGGATTGGGAAAGATTTCTCCGTTCAACAATCTCAGCGATCGGGTTCAAATGCTATAGAAGACCATCGGAAACTTCCCACCAGAACCATTCGCACGATGCAGACTGTGCTCCTCGGCGCCTATATCCTTACCTGTTTAAGAGACTTGGGACTAACGACAGTCGCTTCTCTGTTCCTTTTGGATTCACCCTTCTGTTGGACCGCGGTCAAGATCGGATGGTTTATGTCTATGATTACAGGCTGTAAACTCGTGGGCATGTTTTTAGTTGGTCTGTTTCAGAAATGTGCTAGTGATGTCATCATCGCCACTATCGGGACAGTAGTGACTGCAGCCTCAGACTTCCTATTCACATTCGCCTTCAACGATCTCATGGTGTACTGTGGTAATGTAAACATATTCACAATTCAACCAATCACTGTAGAGAAGGGAAATATCAGGTTCCTTAATCCCAGGGTTTTGCGTTTGCATTCGTTGATGCTATTAGAAGAAAGTTTAAAGCATTTTCCGTTGTAAGATGTGGAATTTGTTCCAAAGTCAGTAGTGGAAGATCTGTCCATCCACCACTGCCTGTGAAATATGTTTGAAAGTCCGTAATGGGTAATTGGTAGATCTGTGGTATGATAACTATATGTGACATATGTTTCGGTGCCAGTAGAGTGTTTCTTGAAGGTTAGGGAAATGGTTCAGTGCCAGGGGTGAGATTTTTTTTAAATTTTCGGAAAGTTTTGAATGACATTGGTGGGATTTCTGAGATGATACCTCGGGTATTTTGACATCAGCCGCAAGGAAAGTTTTCAGTGCTAGATGTGGGATTTCTGGGAGGTCAGTGCGTCGGTGCCAGTAGAGGGTTACCGGGAGGTATGGGAAATGATTAATTTTCAGGGGTGAGTCTCACCTGATGCCTTGATATATTTTTTGTGGTATTTTCCAGTTCCTGTGGTGGGATGTCTTGAAGGTCAGAGGTATTTAAGTGTCAGTATTTGATTTCCAGGAGGTATGGGAAATAATTAATTTTCAGGAGTGAGACTTTCCTCATGCCTGGGATATTACTTTGATATATTTCAGTGCCTGTGATGGGATTTATGGGAGGTCAGAAGTATTCAAATGTCAGTATTTGATTTCCAGGAGGTATGGGAAATAATTAATTTTCAGGAGTGAGACTTTCCTCATGCCTGGGATATTACTTTGATATATTTCAGTGCCTGTGATAGGATTTATGGGAGGTCAGAAGTATTCAAATGTCAGTATTTGATTTCCAGGAGGTATGAGAAATGATTAATTTTCAGGGGTGAGACTTTCCTGATGCCTGGTATATAGTTTTCTGCCATTTTACAGTGCCTGTAGTGGGATTTATGGGAGGTCAGAGGTATTCAAGTGTCAGTATTTGATTTCCAGGAGGTATGGGAAATGAATAATTTTCAGGGGTGAGACTTTCCTGATGCCTGGTATATAGCTTTCTGCTGTTTTACAGTGCCTGTGGTGGGATTTATGGGAGGTTTGGGATATCCGCTGACAGGTGCTATGTTGTCAGGAGTGACATCGCCGGATAAACAAGGTAATTATTATCAAATACGTCACTATTAGCGTTACTTATTTATTTAGAACATATTGCAAACTATACGGTCGTTTATTCGGTATGTTAAATCAGTAACTCGCTTTATTTGTTGTATGTTAAAGGTTTTTTGTTCTCCCTTTTGGGGTTGGTTGAGAGTGCTGGCACTCTGTGTAGTGGATTGGGCCTCAATACGCTGTACTCCAGCACGGTCGGATGGATGAAGGGATTTGTCTTCCTGCTCTCAGCCGTACTGTGCCTACTCTGTGTTCCACTTTACATGTGAGTAAATCAGATTGTGTGAAAACAAAACGAGTATTTCTGTTTTATTTTTTGTTTGTTGAAAAAGCACAAATACTATGACAAGTATATGAAGACGATCTACAAAGAACAAAAATGATATGATTTGTCATTTTTCTTGAGGTTCGCCAGTAATGAACGCTCTTGCGAATTTACCTCGAGAGACACTCAAACGAAACTAATATACATGTATATATATAATAGCAATAGCTGGGGAACTGTTTTGATCTCCTTTTTATATACGTTGTCAAAGATAATTCCATATCAAATCTGTTTGACAAAGAAATATCTTTTTTGAAATATTTGTAAAAACTTTACTTTCGTGTTCATTAACATATCTTTGTGACTTTCTTGAGGTAGGTGATTTCAACCAGCTATTTACATCTATTGTCTTCCGTGCGCTATTTTGTTCTGACAGGTGGTAGACACTGATATGTTTCTGGAGTTCAGTCTCCGAGGTTTGCGATAACCTCCACATAACATTTTCTATTCCAACAGGACAGCTGCACGGTTCAGAATATACATGTATATGTACTTGCTGCGGTTTTCAACATTTCTTTAGATCACTTTGGGTTTTCCTCAGCCGCCTCCTTGGCTTCAAAATTTAGGTCCTTCGAGCCGCAGACGAGTCCTAGAAGTGCGAAACAGTTGCATGGCTCCAAATTTGTATTAAATACTGTTACTCACTTGCGTAATTTGTACAATCTGGTAGACTTCTGTCTTGCAGATACAGATAAATATATTTTGGTTATACTGTATTTCATTCAGATTTGCACAGGAAGGTACTTACTTACCTTTTATGGAATTCATTTTGACCACAACAGTTTAAACTATATTACAGGTATTGTCTGGTGGCCTCCAGGGTCAGAGTGGACCGAGCCAACGACATTAAAACTGACCAATCATAGATATAAAACAACTCAACTTGTGCGTGAAAGGTAATGATGAAATTGATCATTTCCGGTAGTTTAGTCAGCAGCAACTGCGAAATTGCACGCCTGGAGTGGATTCTGCGCATGTCCATAAGTCGGTCACCACGCTGGGAAATGACAGATTTAACTAATATCATTAAAAAAAAAACATTTGTCTTGAAGAGAAGAGGAAAATGTATTCCTTTGACATCGACACCAACTCTGTAAGAGTAACGTACTTACAACCTTCAGTTTGTGACACAGTGATGAATGCTGCAGCATTATACGATATAATAACTTCTGTGTCGTGCTAGACCAAATACCCATGAAAGCGTGCTCCGCTGTTTCGGGCGTAATGGAATCACTTTCAACACGTGGACACGAGGTCACACGAGTCGTCACATGGTTATGACGTAATCTTGAACCAAAATCAGATCCTAGAGAAGCTGTAAGCCACGCAAAATTATTGCTTTACCTCCACCGTCCGTTTCACTCCATCTCAGCCTGTGTGACTAGAGAATGATCCCGACAAATCGGTTTCTAATTTTAGGTAAAAGTTTGATGTACACCTTATAATGATAGCTTCCGCTTAACAACCCACCAGAAATGAGGTGAACCAAATTGCTTTACTGGCATAACAGACCTGACTACGATAGATCTGTAACACCCCCTCCCGATTATATACCCGAAAACACCAGGATAACCGATTCTCAGGTCCCTGTTATGATGCAGTGTTGCAGAAATCTGTCGTTTGTTGACAAAAGCATAGCAGAAAATCCAGCGTGTTTATAGATGAACATGTAAGAAAAGGCTTCATCTTTGTCAAAAAAAGACATTGCTGGTGCATTGTATCAGGTACTAGATTGTAGCCAGTAAGTCAGACGCCAAACCAACTGACATGATTCCAGAAGTTCATGGAAATTAAGGCTGTATGACTCACCAAGACAGATGTATTTCTTTGGACACCACAGCCATGTTGTTTAAATAGTCTAAGAGAACTCACCAAGACAGATGTTCAGGGTATTTCTTTGGACATCACAGCCATGTTGTTTAAATAGTCTTAAGAGAACTAGAAAGATGGTGACCGCTGATTAAACATTTTTATCTTCAGTTCCTTTGGCCTATATATGCAAATAAAAGATTTAAAAGTTAAATGACCACCTCTGTGGGTATTCTCTTCTCATGAACAATATGAAAATTGTCGTGATTGATGTACATAAGTGTTTCCATTGCTATTTCTTTGGTTTCTGGTTTGAGAATTTAACACCTCATGGATTTGACCGATATTTTACATAGAAAGTGTTGGCAATGAAACTTTACCAAAACACTCTTTTTCTCCAACTGCCTTTTCCCCCCGAAGCATTACCACATAAATATTTCTTTTTTTGTCATACCTTATCAGCCATTGTGTTGCCAATGCACTGTTCTCCTTACTTGCAATATATTTTCATAATATAGTTTTTGTGTCGCCTGCAGAGCTGGCGGACACTTAGGGACCACTTTGTCCGTCCTCGTGTCGTCGTCGTCCGTACGAAAGCTTTCCCGTCTTTTTTTCGGTAATGCGTTGAGTTATCAAAATGAAATTTGGCATATGGCTTTTTGTTGCAAGGGTACAGATTAAGTTCGATTCCCGGCTGTCTGTGACCCTTTTTGGCAGAGTTATGCCCCTTTCAACCTAGAAAATTTCCTGGGAATATTGTTTTCCGGAATTTTTTGGCTTATGCTTTGAGTTATCGAAATGAAATTTGGTATATTGCTTCTTATTGCAAGGGTACAGATTAAGTTCGATTCCCGGCTATCTGTACCGTTTTAGACAGAGTTATGGCCCTTTCAACTTAGAAAATTTCTCAGGAATATTGCTTTGCGCAGTTTTCCTTTTATGCTTCAAGTTATAGAAATGAAATTTGGTATTACAACTTCATGGTTGATCGTTGCACATCCAGTTCAATTTCTGGGTGACCGTGACACTTTATGCAGGCGACACATACAGTTCCGAGGAACTCTTGTTAAAGAATTGATGGCATGTGTTAAGTTTGAACTTTGGCCAGGCAAGATTAGTTACTTAATTATATGACTCATATATACCATATTTGATTTAAAAAATTGAAATTGGTATACTGTAAACAATTTTGAAAATAAGAACAGTAAAGATGATATGCCATAATTTTGGATGTTGATAGTAGTACGAGGTCAAAATTCGTTACGAGATTTGAGCCAGGTAATAATTTCAGTGTCCAATCAAGGTATCGGCCAACATACTTCTGAATATCATCAGTCTGTAAAGAATATCTTTACAATTTCAGTTGAGAAATATTTTTGAAAATTTTGTTCCGAGGTTGTTTTTAAATGTTTTACTGTGAGGCTGTTATCAAATGTTTGGAGTAAGGAAGATTCTACAAAGATCCAACAAATTTGCCAACCACTTTGTGTTTGACTATATTCTGACAGGTGATGCATAAACTATAGAGTTTAATAAAACCTACCAATGAATCAATGCAAATAAAAACCAATTAACAACAACACTTTATTGTATATACAGATGGTGCATCAAGATTTTTTGTCATCCTTATTGTCCTCTGTGACCTTGGCATCACCTTTCAATTTTTCTATGTCCTTGGTCAGCTCATTCAATCGGTCAAGATCCTTAAATGAGAAATCCTGACTGCCTCTTTCCACTGGTTGTGGCTGAAAATATACAGGAAAGATTGATAAAAATGTACAATATCTATTGAAATAGGCGTCCTTCTTTAATCCTGGTGGTACATAATTACCTCCCCTGATCTGGACTAGAGTCGATATGGTATGTGACAATATCCAAAAGCATCAAATATCACTGTTTTACACTGTATTATGTATGTGTGATATATTTGTGTGAAATAAACATTGTTATGTAAAATGATAAGTCATATTCTTTAAATATTTGTTATTTAGTGTCCATCTAAGCATCATTATTACCTGTGAGGGATCAGGCTTCCATCCTATAAAGTTAAGCACCTGAAATGTAGCTGGTACACCTTCCTCATCTCCGTACATATCTGTCAAACAATCACATAGCATTCTTACTGCTTACAGGACTTTTTACCAATCATTTTTATAACAAATGGACTGTGTCATAAAACATGAAATGGATTTATTCCCTTTCAATGATGGCAAAAGAAATGGCTATTTTCAAAAGTTACACCTTCTAAGATATATTCCATTAAGATATCTTTCCCATCCCATGACTTTGGGTATATAAGGGATATCACCAAGAGAATTTAATAGAGAATTTGTTAAAAAAATATGGGCAAGAAACTGGACTATGGATAGAAGTAATTTAATTTTGGAGTCCAGTGTTTTTGAGTCCAACGATATTTATTTTACTTTGGTATAAAGGTACGGATTGATGGTAATTCAGATTTTGAATTAATCACGAGATTTTGAGTTGCCTAACTGACTAGAATCCTGAGTAACCTATCTTGTAATTGAAAAACACCAAATGTTCCTTCTCAATAACGTTTTGTACCTATAGGATATACTACAGTATCAACAAGAGCTTGGACTAAGAAACATTCAATAACACAATACGCTCTAAATCTAAGAGAAGAAAACACCCAGGCATGCATCAAATTACCGATGAAGTATGAAAGATTAAAAATGGCTTTGTTGAAACAAGATACAATAAAGGCTTGTGAAAAACCTACCACTGAGGCTGTTACTATACCATGTCAATGATACATTTAATATTTGTATATATTTCATAGTCTTTTCCTACACCAAGAAATATACTATTGACCATGGTGTTATTATGGGTCATCATCAATACTGAAGGAGTAAAATCCTCCTGACAATGATGAAACTGGTCCACTTCTGATATTTGGTAGTTTCTTCAATAACAACAGTGACATCCCAAAACAAGCTACATGTAGTATTTTTTTCAATAATTCATGGAGACTGATTTAAACTGTCAAAGAAGACCCTGTTAACTAGTTCTGTTTTCTACCTAATTGCTGCAGGTTATTGCTTAACAACTCAATAACAATCAGCAAATTTGAATAAGTACTGAGGTACTTGATGCAAAGGCCACATACACTTGATCTATAGAATCGGCATTAATGACTAATTAATCCTAGCTCCTGGTAATTATAACTGTTGGAAATTCAAACATTTACATGTTTCCATTGTTAACAATGATACTGCTAGGATACACAATGTTCTGTCATACTTCAAGGCAGCACAATAGACTGTTTTAATTAGAAGTGGTCAATGCTGTAAAATTGACTTAAAAGATGTCTTAAAAGATGCAGCACATCTAAACATCAAACCACAACAGCTATACCACTCGGATTAAAAGAAATTCCCACCGCCATGGTCCATGTATATATATGTAATATGTATACTTCAATATATAGAGTATATATGAGCTAAACTACAACTATTGTGTCAATATGACATGAAAGCCCTGCGGTAACAAAAATGAAAAGGTGAACTGCCTGAAATTTAATTTCAAGTCCAAGGGGCACAACTCCATCAAACATCATCTAACCCATCCCAGGTAAGAACATGACCTGCGTTTTCCCGTAACACCAAATTTCAATTCAGAATGTCTGACTGAGATAATGAACAGAAGCTTAAAAATTCCTTGAAATTTTCTAAGGGCAAGGGGCATAACACAATCAGAATTGAATAGTCTTGAAATTAGACAGAGATTTTTAATAGTGATCAATGAATATTTCAACATACATGCAAAATATTATTAAATTCTACTGGGGCATTCTAAAGTTATGGTGTGGAATCCAAATTTTTCAGGGTTTCTTGGTCAAGAAAGGGCCATAACTCTAGTAGAAATTGCCAAAAAATTAAGCAAAAATCAAACTTGGCCTAGATTATTAATATTTCAAAATACATGCAAAATATTATTTAATTCTATTGAGGCATTCTAAAGTTCTGGTATGGAAACCAAATCCGGATGGATGGATGGACATGGGTAATGCTGTATGCTTTCTCCATCTTCAATGCCAGGGCCAAAAAAATCCCCTGGATAATGGTCATTACTGTACATTATCAAGTTGTTCACTAAGCATTGATATGATAATCAGCAATTCATACCTTTGTAAATGGCTGCTGCAGCTTGCATTGTGTCTCGGTGTAATGAGGGTCTGCGGGACCATGAACAATTGTTTTCTCCCATACCTGAAATTATACATACAAGATGTAGCCAATACGCCCAAGACTAAGTCATATTTATTCTCGTTTAGTTCCTTGCCATGAATCATATAAGACATGCTATATAGAAGTTATGGTCTCAATAGGAATTTGACCTCCCTATTTGGGATACACACCTGTAAGTATGTTGTCTCATCATGTCTGGCTTGTCTTTAGTTTTAAAAAAAAAAAAACATGTCTTAAAAGTTTGGAGCCAGACCAGTTGTTGAAGTAACTGCTATGTGTATCTCCATCCCCTTAATTCAGAGGAAAATGGGGTGTATTTATATTGTAGAAATATGACGTCTTGGACATACATGTAGAGATAACAGACTGACAACTGGTTACTATAGCCCAGATAAAAACTTATCCATCACGGTGTTGATGTTTAGAACTAGGGAAATAGAGATCTCCGTTTTTACCCATAAATATTGTATGTCTATCCTTTATTTTCATAAATTTCAATTGACAGTCAAATTGAATACGTAATTCAAACCTCAACTCCCATATTTTGTATGCATGAAGACAGACAGGTAGAGATCAGATTACCAGCCAATGGTACCTACCTATCAGGTAGAACATAAGCACAAACATAGACAGGTTGATCTGTATACCAGCCAATGGTACCTACCTTTCAGGTAGAACATGAGATCAAACATAGACAGGTTGATCTGTATACCAGCCAATGGTACCTACCTTTCAGGTAGAACATCAGATCAAACATAGATGGGTTGATCTGAATGCCAGCCAATGGTACCTACCATTCAGATTGAACATCAGCACAAACAGACAGGTTGATCTGAATACCAGCCAATGGTACCTACCTTTCAGGTAGAACATCAGATCAAACATAGACAGGTTGATCTGTATACCAGCCAATGGTACCTACCTTTCAGATCGAACATCAGATCAAACAGACAGGTTGATCTGTATACCAGCCAATGGTACCTACCTTTCAGGTAGAACATCAGATCAAACAAAGACAGGTTGATCTGTATACCAGCCAATGGTGCCTACCTTTCAGGTAGAACATCAGATCAAACAGACAGGTTGATCTGTATACCAGCCAATGGTACCTACCTTTCAGGTAGAACATCAGATCAAACAGACAGGTTGATCTGTATACCAGCCAATGGTACCTACTTTTCAGATCAAACATCAGCTCAAACATAGATGGGTTGATCTGAATACCAGCCAATGGTACCTACCTTTCAGATCGAACATGAGCTTAAACATAGACAGGTTGATCTGTATACCAGCCAATGGTACCTACCTTTCAGGTAGAACATCAGCTCAAACATAGACGGGTTGATCTGTATACCAGCCAATCACACCTACCTTTCAGGTCGAACATTAACTCAAACATCGATGGGTACTTTATTGTGAACTCGTCTGTATCCTGCAACATACACAGATCACTGTGATAATAAAGAGAACAGATGACATAGAAATATCACTGCTAGTGTTAAATGATGTCATCAATTGTGAACATTTAAAACAAAGGGTTAAATCATTTTTGATGAAAAACTTACACAATTATAAATTATAAATTACCTTACAACTACATATATTTCATTGGAACATGTACATTTTGTACTTCCTTTGTAATCTTACACAATTAAATGACTATCTTATCACTATGGTTACAACTCCATCAATGCAGTATTCACCATTCGTCATAATGATAATGATGTTGTCAAGGTCTCCACTGGATTAGTCAGTGTATCAGTCCATCTTGTCAGTGTCTCCACTGGATTAGTCAGTGTATCAGTCCATCTTGTCAGTGTCTCCACTGGATTAGTCAGTGTATCAGTCCATCTTGTCAGGGTCTCCACTGGATTAGTCAGTGTATCAGTCCATCTTGTCAGGGTCTCCACTGGATTAGTCAGTGTATCAGTCCATCTTGTCAGGGTCTCCACTGGATTAGTCAGTGTATCAGTCCATCTTGTCAGGGTCTCCACTGGATTAGTCAGTGTATCAGTCCATCTTGTCAGGGTCTCCACTGGATTAGTCAGTGTATCAGTCCATCTTGTCAGGGTCTCCACTGGATTAGTCAGTGTATCAGTCCATCTTGTCAGTGTCTCCACTGGATTAGTCAGTGTATCAGTCCATCTTGTCAACGTCTCCACTGGATTAGTCAGTGTATCAGTCCATCTTGTCAGTGTCTCCACTGGATTAGTCAGTGTATCAGTCCATCTTGTCAGGGTCTCCACTGGATTAGTCAGTGTATCAGTCCATCTTGTCAGGGTCTCCACTGGATTAGTCAGTGTATCAGTCCATCTTGTCAAGGTCTCCACTGGATTAGTCAGTGTATCAGTCCATCTTGTCAAGGTCTCCACTGGATTAGTCAGTGTATCAGTCCATCTTGTCAGTGTCTCCACTGGATTAGTCAGTGTATCAGTCCATCTTGTCAGTGTCTCCACTGGATTAGTCAGTGTATCAGTCCATCTTGTCAGTGTCTCCACTGGATTAGTCAGTGTATCAGTCCATCTTGTCAGGGTCTCCACTGGATTAGTCAGTGTATCAGTCCATCTTGTCAGGGTCTCCACTGGATTAGTCAGTGTATCAGTCCATCTTGTCAGGGTCTCCACTGGATTAGTCAGTGTATCAGTCCATCTTGTCAGGGTCTCACTGGATTAGTCAGTGTATCAGTCCATCTTGTCAGGGTCTCCACTGGATTAGTCAGTGTATCAGTCCATCTTGTCAGGGTCTCCACTGGATAAGTCAGTGTATCAGTCCATCTTGTCAAGGTCTCCACTGGATTAGTCAGTGTATCAGTCCATCTTGTCAGTGTCTCCACTGGATTAGTCAGTGTATCAGTCCATCTTGTCAAGGTCTCCACTGGATTAGTCAGTGTATCAGTCCATCTTGTCAGGGCCTCCACTGGATTAGTCAGTGTATCAGTCCATCTTGTCAAGGTCTCCACTGGATTAGTCAGTGTATCAGTCCATCTTGTCAGTGTCTCCACTGGATTAGTCAGTGTATCAGTCCATCTTGTCAACGTCTCCACTGGATTAGTCAGTGTATCAGTCCATCTTGTCAAGGTCTCCACTGGATTAGTCAGTGTATCAGTCCATCTTGTCGAGGTCTCACTGGATTAGTCAGTGTATTAGTCCATCTTGTCAGTGTCTCCACTGGATTAGTCAGTGTATCAGTCCATCTTGTCAACGTCTCCACTGGATTAGTCAGTGTATCAGTCCATCTTGTCAAGGTCTCCACTGGATTAGTCAGTGTATCAGTCCATCTTGTCAAGGTCTCCACTGGATTAGTCAGTGTATCAGTCCATCTTGTCAAGGTCTCCACTGGATTAGTCAGTGTATCAGTCCATCTTGTCAAGGTCTCCACTGGATTAGTCAGTGTATCAGTCCATCTTGTCAAGGTCTCCACTGGATTAGTCAGTGTATCAGTCCATCTTGTCAAGGTCTCCACTGGATTAGTCAGTGTATCAGTCCATCTTGTCAGGTCTCCACTGGATTAGTCAGTGTATCAGTATCTTGTCAGTCTCCACTGGATTAGTCAGTGTATCAGTCCATCTTGTCAAGGTCTCCACTGGATTAGTCAGTGTATCAGTCCATCTTGTCAGGGTCTCCACTGGATTAGTCAGTGTATCAGTCCATCTTGTCAGGGTCTCCACTGGATTAGTCAGTGTATCAGTCATCTTGTCAGGGTCTCCACTGGATTAGTCAGTGTAAGGTATAGATGAAGACAAGGTTTAAATTTTCTATAGAGGATATCATTTTCATTTTTATCTGCAGATAACATACCAGTGTCAACATGGTAAAGCCAGCCCTATTGAGGAGGTTCCCAAGGTCATGTGCACTGGTAAATGGTGAAATATGTGGAGAGAATCCCTGTTGATGTAAAAAATATTGTTACATTACAATTAAATATTGAGAAATTGGCAGCAGAAATACTTGTATGAACTTCCATGAGATATTGGTTGAAAACTTTATCCAGCATATTAAGGCCATTGAAAATTTTTGTTAGGAACCTGAGACAAGTTAAATTTCAATTATTCATTGATGATTTTTACATTTAAACCGAAGGATATTTATATCTTAATTATTATAATAAACCTTTAAGATCCTTCAGCAGTGTCCTTAATCTGTAGTAGATAAAATACACCTGGTATATATAAATGAAGCTGTATAACCAGGGCTCTTACACCCCATTTTGGGACTGGGGTGTTTTCCTAAGAATTGGGAAAACTTGGGGTCTAAATTGGGAAAAAAAGATACTTTTTTGCATTGGGAATCTGCCGCAAATCTGGCAGATCGAGAGCCTTGATAACATATCTGGTTGAATATGTAAGTCAAAATGCCACAAAAAAAAAACTAACTGTAAGTGGCAAGAATCAAACTGACACCAGTAACATTACACTGAACCTAAGGTAGGCCTAAGAATGGAGCAAAACTGTTTATTTCTTCACCTCAGGAAGTAAACATGACATGACTATATCTGTGCCATAATTAACCCAATCATAATTATATCATTACTTGGAGACCAATCACATGTCATTATACAAACCCCTTCTCGCTCTATCTCAGCTAGCTGTAGTGCAACACGGAGTTCAAACACAGTGTCTCCTCCATACATACAGCCAAGGAAGACACCATCATTCTTGAGTGTTCTGTGTACCTTTAAGGACAAAACAGTAAACAAATACAGTGGTCTACGCTGATCCCTGAAAACTCTTGTATCTAATGTAATGAATGATGTACCGGTAACGCTTTAATCCTATGTTTGATAAAAATCAAGATTACGTTTTACATCTATTTTATATGATAGTAGACGTACTAAATACTTTTCTGAAATTAAAAAAAAAAAAAAAATGAAATTGCTAAAACTCTGTTCTGAAAAATATTAAGAAAGACAAGAGTATTAGTATTACTGATGAATTCTCTCTCCGAAAACGACATTAATGGCCATGAAAATTAATCAAAGGGCAATAATTCTGTAATTAAGAAGTTGCAGGCCCTGAATTTGGTATACTGCACATTCTCTTAGTATGACAAATGTATACACCAAGTTTCAACAACTCTTTAATTATGCAAAATAGAGTTCTTGTACACTACACTTCTCCTTGTCAAGATCTATCTACATATGAAGGTTCATGTTGATACCACTTATAGTTTTTGTGATATGCTCTGGACAAAATTATATTGGATGGATAGACAAACAGATGAACAAACTGACAGATGGACAGATGGATGGCTATAAGCTCTCCCTTTGTGGAGCATAAAAAACCTTCCTGTCCACTACACAAAGACGGGAAAACCAGGAAATTTTGGCAGGAGACGATTTTGTTGAAATAGATTATTTTCATAAAGTGCCTTTTCAAGAAAGAAAGAAAAGTTACCATATTTTGTGTTGAAATTAACAATTTGTCCTTAACAGGTGAACCCAACAGCCTACATCTAATGAGGTGCTGTGTAGTCCACTGAAACATGAGGACAATCTAGACATTATGATCAATAAAGTGTTGTGGTCATAACTTACCTGCTTAAAGCAACCAGGAAGGTCATTTACCCAATGTAAACTGAAAAATAATAACATCAGTTGAGGTATCAGCTCTCCATATAAACTTGATATCAAATCCAGGATTAGTAAGTAAAGTTTTGACCATCACCTCTGATGTACCAGTGAAGATGATGACTATAAATCTCACTTTTGCAGTACTAAAGGTTTAACACCCCCTCAACCCCCTCAATTCTATGGCAATTCACAAAACATGGGTATATCTGGTTGATGAAGGTCACTTTGGTGGGGAGCTCTAGGTTCAATCCCTCCGACAATTTAGTGTCGACAGAAGTAACCTTGATCCTATGGTGTTAGGACAAGGCTGATGTCAAGACATTTTATAGACCCCTGACTTTACAACATGCAGTCCTGTATGTTTAAATTGATGTCAAAATTGTACAAGTGTCAATCTTAATGTACAAGTGTCAGTCTTAATGTACAAGTGTCAATCTTAATGTACAAGTGTCAGTCTTAATGTACAAGTGTCAGTCTTAATGTACTAGTGTCAGTCTTAATGTACAAGTGTCAGTCTTAATGTACAAGTGTCAGTCTTAATGTACAAGTGTCAATCTTATCGCACAAGTGTCAGTCTTAATCTTAATGTACAAGTGTCAGTCTTAATGTACAAGTGTCAATCTTATTGTACAAGTGTCAATCTTAATGTAATAGTGTCAATCTTAATGTACAAGTGTCGCACAAGTGTCAGTCTTAATGTACAATCAGTCTTAATCTTAATGTACAAGTGTCAATCTTAATGTACTAGTGTCAGTCTTAATGTACAAGTGTCAGTCTTAATGTACAAAGTCTTAATGTACAAGTGTCAGTCTTAATCTTAATGTACAAGTGTCAGTCTTAATGTACTAGTGTCAGTCTTAATGTACAAGTGTCAGTCTTAATGTACAAGTGTCAATCTTAATGTACAAGTGACAAGTGTCAGTCTTAATCTTAATGTACAAGTGTCAGTCTTAATGTACAAGTGTCAATCTTATTGTACAAGTGTCAATCTTAATGTAATAGTGTCAATCTTATCGCACAAGTGTCAGTCTTAATCTTAATGTACTAGTGTCAGTCTTAATGTACTAGTGTCAGTCTTAATGTACAAGTGTCAATCTTAATGTACAAGTGTCAGTCTTAATGTACAAGTGTCAGTCTTAATCTTAATGTACAAGTGTCTTAATGTACTAGTGTAGTCTTAATGTACAAGTGTCAGTCTTAATGTACAAGTGTAATCTTAATGTACAAGTGTCAATCTTAATGTACAAGTGTCAATCTTATTGTACAAGTGTCAGTCTTAATCTCAATGTACAAGTGTCAATCTTAATGTACAAGTGTCAATCTTATCGCACAAGTGTCAGTCTTAATCTTAATGTACAAGTGTCAATCTTAATGTACAAGTGTCAATCTTTTTGTACAAGTGTCAATCTTCATGTAATAGTGTCAATCTTATTGTACAAGTGTCAGTCTTAATCTTAATGTACAAGTGTCAATCTTAATGTACTAGTGCCAATATTATTGTACAAGTGCCAGTCTTAATGTACAAGTGTCAGTCTTAATGTACTAGTGTCAGTCTTAATGTACAAGTGTCAGTCTTAATGTACAAGTGTCAATCTTAATGTACAAGTGTCAATCTTATCGCACAAGTGTCAGTCTTAATCTTAATGTACAAGTGTCAATCTTAATGTACAAGTGTCAATCTTATTGTACAAGTGTCAATCTGATTGTACAAGTGTCAATCTTAATGTACTAGTGACAATCTTATTGTACAAGTGTCAATCTTAATGTACTAGTGTCAGTCTTAATGTACAAGTGTCAGTCTTAATGTACAAGTGTCAGTCTTAATCTTAATGTACAAGTGTCAATCTTAATGTACTAGTGTCAATCTTATTGTACAAGTGTCAGTCTTAATCTTAATGTACAAGTGTCAATCTTATTGTACAAGTGTCAATCTTAATCTTAATGTACAAGTGTCAATCTTAATCTTAATATACAAGTGTCAATCTTAATGTACAAGTGTCAATCTTATCACACAAGTGTCAGTCTTAATCTTAATGTACAAGTGTCAATCTTAATGTACAAGTGTCAATCTTATTGTACAAGTGTCAATCTGATTGTACAAGTGTCAATCTTAATGTACTAGTGACAATCTTATTGTACAAGTGTCAGTCTTAATCTTAATGTACAAGTGTCAATCTTATTGTACAAGTGTCAATCTTATTGTACAAGTGTCAATCTGATTGTACAAGTGTCAATCTTAATGTACTAGTGACAATCTTATTGTACAAGTGTCAGTCTTAATCTTAATGTACAAGTGTCAATCTTAATGTACTAGTGTCAGTCTTAATGTACAAGTGTCAGTCTTAATGTACAAGTGTCAGTCTTAATGTACAAGTGTCAGTCTTAATCTTAATGTACAAGTGTCAATCTTATTGTACAAGTGTCAGTCTTAATCTCAATGTACAAGTGTCAATCTTAATGTACAAGTGTCAATCTTATCGCACAAGTGTCAGTCTTAATCTTAATGTACAAGTGTCAATCTTAATGTACAAGTGTCAATCTTTTTGTACAAGTGTCAATCTTCATGTAATAGTGTCAATCTTATTGTACAAGTGTCAGTCTTAATCTTAATGTACAAGTGTCAATCTTAATGTACTAGTGCCAATATTATTGTACAAGTGTCAATCTTAATGTACAAGTGTCAATCTTATTGTACAAGTGTCAATCTTAATGTAATAGTGTCAATCTTATCGCACAAGTGTCAGTCTTAATCTTAATGTACAAGTGTCAATCTTAATGTACAAGTGTCAATCTTATTGTACAAGTGTCAGTCTTAATCTTAATGTACAAGTGTCAATCTTATTGTACAAGTGTCAATCTTAATGTACAAGTGTCAATCTTAATTTTAATATACAAGTGTCAATCTTAATGTACAAGTGTCAATCTTATCACACAAGTGTCAGTCTTAATCTTAATGTACAAGTGTCAATCTTAATGTACAAGTGTCAATCTTATTGTACAAGTGTCAATCTGATTGTACAAGTGTCAATCTTAATGTACTAGTGACAATCTTATTGTACAAGTGTCAGTCTTAATCTTAATGTACAAGTGTCAATCTTAATGTACAAGTGTCAATCTTATTGTACAAGTGTCAATCTTAATGTACAAGTGTCAATCTTATTGTACAAGTGTCAATCTGATTGTACAAGTGTCAATCTTAATGTACTAGTGACAATCTTATTGTACAAGTGTCAGTCTTAATCTTAATGTACAAGTGTCAATCTTAATGTACAAGTGTCAATCTTATTGTACAAGTGTCAATCTGATTGTACAAGTGTCAATCTTAATGTACTAGTGACAATCTTATTGTACAAGTGTCAGTCTTAATCTTAATGTACTAGTGTCAATCTTATTGTACAAGTGTCAATCTTAATGTACTAGTGTCAATCTTAATGTACAAGTGTCAATCTTATTGTACTAGTGTCAATCTTATTGTACAAGTGTCAATCTTAATGTACAAGTGTCAATCTTATTGTACAAGTGTCAATCTTATTGTACAAGTGTCAATCTTAATGTACTAGTGTCAATCTTAATGTACTAGTGTCAATCTTAATGTACTAGTGTCAATCTTATTGTACAAGTGTCAGTCTTAATCTTAATGTACTAGTGTCAATCTTATTGTACAAGTGTCAATCTTAATGTACTAGTGTCAATCTTAATGTACAAGTGTCAATCTTATTGTACTAGTGTCAATCTTATTGTACAAGTGTCAATCGTAATGTACTAGTGTCAATCTTATTGTACAAGTGTCAATCTTATTGTACTAGTGTCAATCTTATTGTACAAGTGTCAATCTTATTGTACAAGTGTCAATCTTATTGTACAAGTGTCAATCTTATTGTACTAGTGTCAATCTTATTGTACAAGTGTCAATCTTATTGTACTAGTGTCAATCTTATTGTACAAGTGTCAATCTTATTGTACAAGTGTCAATCTTATTGTACAAGTGTCAATCTGATTGTACAAGTGTCAATCTTAATGTACTAGTGACAATCTTATTGTACAAGTGTCAGTCTTAATCTTAATGTACAAGTGTCAATCTTAATGTACAAGTGTCAATCTTAATGTACTAGTGTCAATCTTATTGTACAAGTGTCAATCTTATTGTACAAGTGCCAGTCTTAACCTTCTAATAACCCTATACAAGCTAATCTCATTGACTGTGACAAACAAGCAACAAGTTTTTGTGTCCTACTTTCTTTGGTATTGGATTCTGAAAGCACAGTATATCTGGACATGAGTCACAGATAATTAAAACCGGGTATGTGTGTTGATTATTCCTGCAATAGTTATGTGCATGCACTAAATGGATTTACCTTAACGAGCTAAATACTATATCAGCTGAGTTGTGTTTAAATGGAAGAGACTCTTCATCGACCACCATCTTTGTGGTTGGAACTTCTGGAGATACTTGTGCTTGTTCCTAAATAAAAGGTAAGTCCTTGATAGGATTAGTCAAACTGATCATACTTTGTAGCTTAAAATGTAGGAATTTTCAACTTGTCACTATGAAAAAAAAGAAACTATAAGCAAATGCAGTGTAGCTGTTTTGTTTATTTTTTTTCATTATATGTACTGTGTACAGAGAATACAGCCAAAACATACAGCAACATGGACACTGTACATGGTATCACAATGACTGTTATAATTTTTCTCGTAACAGTGAATTGCTATATTACTAAATACAACAACTAATGTGTACTCGTCATGACGACACTTAATATAAGTAATGTGTACTCACCATGATGGTGATAAAGGAAATATCTGATACATATCCATTGTTACAGTACTAAGAAAATAATTAATGTGTATCCAACATTTCTTACCAATAACATCTCTGATGAGTCACACATGTAGAGGTTTTCCACCATGTCTGCTAGTATGTGTCTGGACACGTAACCCCTTCCACAGCCCAGATCTATAGCCAGCTTAAACTCTCTGTAATAATAAGTCATCTCTTATAATCTGTGCCAAAATAAAGCATTTACCTGGCTCTTTTGAAAAATTATCTTCGCTGCTTTCAACTTTCAAGTGAATCAACTCATTTCATACCCAGAAGCATTCACTTCTATTGCTAGTACAAGAAATAATTTCACTCAATGCCAGTATTTTTTTCACATGTTTTTTACATGTTTTGTAATTTTGGTATGAATGTAAGTGAAAAACAGAAATAAAGGTCATATGAACAGATGAAACATTCTGAAAAATTATTAATATATATCTACTGTATACAGGGAAATACTTCCCTTGAAATTATTTGCCAAATATGAATATTATTATCTCTGCAATATCTTACTCAAAGTGTCAAGTATGGAACTTGTATCACCTTTGCAAATTAGTATCATACTCCTTACAAATGTCCAATTTAAGAGTTTCATTTTGTAAATTCAGGTCAATCTTTTCTGTTCATAAATAAAGGCAAAAGACACAAAAGCGATGCTGAAGAAATATTGCATGGTTGTTAATAATTTGTTGCTCAATTATCTGAAATAATGCCAATATCTGGGTATTGTTGTACCAGGATCTACATGATGGTCACAAAATCAGTATGAAAACTGTCACTGGGATTTGTAAGCTATAAGCTAAGGTATAAATAATACCTACAATGAAGTGTAAACAGATTCTTGGCCCAAACAGTATCTAGATATAGGTGGGATTCTGGGCCCAACCAGTATCTAGATATAGGTGGGATTCTGGGCCTAAACAGTGTCTAGATATAGGTGAGATTCTCGGGCAAAATAGTACCAAGATATAGGTGTGATTCTGGGCCCAAATAGTACTTAGATACAGGCGAGATTCTGGGCCCAACCAGTGTCTAGATATAGGTGGGATTCTGGGGTCAAATAGTACCTAGATATAGGTGGGATTCTGGGCCCAAACAGTATATAGATATAGGTGGGATTCTGGGCCCAAACAGTATCTAGATATAGGTGGGATTCTGGGCCCAAACAGTATCTAGATATAGGTGGGATTCTTGGCCCAAACAGTGTCTAGATATAGGTGGGATTCTGGGCCCAAACAGTATCTAGATATAGGTGGGATTCTTGGCCCAAACAGTATCTAGATATAGGTGGGATTCTTGGCACAAACAGTATCTAGATATAGGTGGGATTCTGGGCCCAAACAGTATCTAGATATAGGTGGGATTCTGGGCCCAAACAGTATCTAGATATAGGTGGGATTCTGGGCCCAAACAGTATCTAGATATAGGTGAGATTCTCGGGCAAAATAGTACCAAGATATAGGTGTGATTCTGGGCCCAAATAGTACTTAGATACAGGCGAGATTCTGGGCCCAACCAGTATATAGATATAGGTGGGATTCTGGGCCTAAACAGTATCTAGATATAGGTGGGATTCTGGGCCCAAACAGTATCTAGATATAGGTGAGATTCTGGGCCCAAACAGTATATAGATATAGGTGGGATTCTGGGCCCAAATAGTACTTAGATACAGGCGAGATTCTGGGCCCAACCAGTGTCTAGATATAGGTGGGATTCTGGGGTCAAATAGTACCTAGATATAGGTGGGATTCTGGGCCCAAACAGTATATAGATATAGGTGGGATTCTGGGCCTAAACAGTATCTAGATATAAGTGGGATTCTGGGCCCAAACAGTATCTAGATATAGGTGGGATTCTGGGCCTAAACAGTATCTAGATATAGGTGGGATTCTGGGCCTAAACAGTGTCTAGATATAGGTGAGATTTTCGGGCAAAATAGTACCAAGATATAGGTGTGATTCTGGGCCCAAATAGTACTTAGATACAGGCGAGATTCTGGGCCCAACCAGTGTCTAGATGTAGGTGGGATTCTGGGGTCAAATAGTACCTAGATATAGGTGGGATTCTGGGCCCAAACAGTATGTAGATATAGGTGGGATTCTGGGCCCAAACAGTATCTAGATATAGGTGGGATTCTGGGCCCAAACAGTATCTAGATATAGGCGAGATTCTGGACCCAATTAGTATGTTATTGTTACAGTTTATAAATAGTTTATAAAACGGTTTACAAGAAAATTTGTTTAAATGCTGATTATCTAATTATAATTACAAATAACAGTTCGGTGGTAAAATTTGTACTCATGGCAGATATCAAATTGAAGTAATCACAGTAATAGTTAATTCATTCTGCAATAGGCCTCTATGCTTAGTAATGATTAAGCCCATCTGATTTTATTGCTGTCCAGTAGAAATACAAACACATGTCATTGTCAAGCAATCAACTCATCCCCTGATTTTTGAGTCTGAATTTTCATGTTAATCTCTGGTTTTATTATGGCATACATACATATATCAAGCTTCTTACCTTTTAATATCACACATTCTGTCAAAGGTTCTATAGCCAACCTACAACAAAATAAAAAACTGTAAAATGCTTATTGAACATTTTGATGTTTTTATCATGATGACTCGTGTTTATTATTAATTACTTAAAGTAGCATGTCTTGGGAAGCTGATCGTCTCTTAAAAATAACAATTGGGCGTCTACAATGATATGAACTACACGTTTGTTTTAATAGTTAGCTATAATCGATGTTCCTATGCCTATGATTTGATACTTATCACTGAAGTATGCGTACAACTCGCGACAGTCCTGGTTCAAACTATGAGGACCCATAAATATCAACGAGTTCGTCGTTTACCTCCTCTTTCATGTAATCGTAAACTTCATAATCAGGTAAAATTGTCGTCCTATCTTTTTGGATTCGCTTCGCTTTTCTGTCAAAAACGGTCATGATATTTTCCTGTCGGTCGGCACTCATCCAGCGCGATGAACTAACCAAATGCGACCTCCGAGTGGAGGGCACCTTGCACCTTAAAGAAGCATATATGCTCCATGACCGCCTCAGCAGTGGTGCGGTCGTCATTGTTTTTCTAATTAAGTCAATTATTGTTCTTGTTAAGTCTTTGAATGTCACAAACAGATTATGACCTCTCTTTGAGTGGCACAACAATACATTAGAGTTAATATTTCAGATTGTATAAGCGAAGGACTGCCGTTTACAAACGGTGTAACATTCTACAGCTCTATTTTTTTGGTGGTCACTATTTATCCTTTAGTTTCGTATTTTTACTGCACTTCCGGATGCTGTTGTTGACGACACTGCGGGCCCGTTCGATTCGCTGTTCTGGACACTCGGTACAGTTGGAACACCAATCGAACGCAGTAGAACAGCTGTCCGGTACAAGTTCTGGCTGTGCCATCTGAAAGGTGGTGCAGGCGGCACAGCTGGAAAATTAATCATGACCGCCAGTGAGCCATCCACAGACTGTGCATTCTATAAATGTGGATGTGGCGTATTTTTCGCAACACTTCACGCCGCTCTTCAGCACAAATGTGCAAAAAAGGTTAAGGTGGTATTTAAAAATCGATTGTGGTCTTATTTTCACAAAGATACTCCCAAACAAAGTATATCACTGTCTTTATCACGACAGTCACATATCGGGCTGCTGAAATATTAAGATGGTGTAAGTTTACTAAAAACGCTTAATAGTCTCACAATATGTTAATTATCTACACAGATACCTTTATAGTCCTTAGACGTGATGGGCTCTTGACCGTCGAGGTTATACCATTTTTTGTCCAGAAACGAACAGTTGAACACGTATTTGTGCATGTACAGTAGATTTATGCAACATGAAAGAACATGCTTGTTTTTAACATTGACACCATCAACGTCTCATCTCACGGCCAAGCTGGTAAACCCCGATTTCCCCCCATCTCCCACAAACGTGGATGCGACATTTAACAAAAATGAAAATGTCTTATAATAAGTATAATATGTCGTCAAATACACAACGTATTCACCGAATTCTTGGACATTGCGTTTAGAACACCAGTACACCAACAGTAGATAACTGCATGTACAAGGTTAAATATATATTATTACTGACTACGGACCGTGACACCTGTAATTGAAAAACTGACTCCCGACCGTGACACCTGTAATTGAAAAACTGACTCCCGTGTCTGAAAGTACATTTGTGGCAATAAAATCGTATAAGTACAATATATAAACCTAGGCGTTCATTTATCATTCATAAGCTCACTCAACCAGATTGTCGTTTCAGTGGCGGTTTAACTGTTATTAACTCGGTTCTCACTTTGAGAAATTGACAATGATCTGCTTGGATTGGCCTTCCAGAAAGCTATGGCAACTCCCGTGTTTTCAACTCTTACAAATATTTTACTGATTTTGATTAGAATCTCCAATTATGACTTTACTGATATGCGTATTAGCAGGGACGTCCCTGGTATTAGGAATGGGTTATTAACATTTACTCGAAATAAATTACGCGGACTAAATTATGCCTAGCTGATCCGTGAAAAAACATTCGGAACATACCGGTATTTATCTAATGCATTTGCTTTAAACAGTATAACTATATTTAAAGCTTCCATCGCCCATTCTGTTCCTTGTTATACTACATGACAGACATGGCTGTGTTTGGCGCATTACTACAACACATAGGCACACGTGTTGCGTTATCGTTGCGTTATCGAACGCACCTAATTGGTTTACAACAAACTTTATACAAAGCCTCGCTTTCGAATACACTTGTACGAAATATAACACAAGCGGTTATTCACCGGACAAACAACCCGAAAATGGCTCTCTCAGAGGATGACATTCGCAAAGTGTGCGTTCAACCTGATGCTGCGACAAAGGTATTGTTATTATTCAATCGATACTTTTTTATTATTGTTCAAACAGTTAGTTTTCAAAGCACTCCCGAACACTATGCGTATTCTGGTCAACTCGCCCAATAAAGCTTGTCGCTCTTTTAGAAAAAAATGAACACTGAACAGTTCGAAATTCCTTGAACAAATTGGTACATTAACAAATTAAACTGATAATTGTTGACCAAATAAGATACGATCATGCTACAGACATGTATAACGTCTCTGAGTATGCCAAGGGCGGAACGTAACGGTAACGGATATATTGCAAATCATCTCCGGGATGTTAGATCCGCTCGGCGACAGTAAGTTTACGTATAGTCTATGTGACTCACGATCTGTGTGACGTACTGAAATACTGAGTGCAAGGAATCTAATTAAATTGTCATTATAAATTAATTTGTGAAAAAGAAAAGCACGATATCTTAAAAAAATAAACTTGTCCGAAATATCCCTTTAAATAAGATAAACGAAAAACAGCTAGGTAACCAACTTTTAAGCCATCTTATTAAACCAGTAATGATAGGCCAATTACAAAAGGCTTAAGAAGTTTTATCTCTGTTTTCTATGTTCAACCTTAGTCAGATTTGCTCTGCAAAGCTATTTCTTTGCATTTAGATTGTTTAGTGCCATTGGCCATCAAAACAATGAAAAACACCCCAGATATCAAACAGACAGGGACTTTGATATAGATAAAAATTGGTCAAGGACAGTAGATTGGTATAGAGTCTTCTGTTAACATTTCAATGCAACATTAACATATATATGATTGTCATTTTCACAACTCTGACTTTGGAACTCAATCATTGGCTGTTAAACATTATACTGAAACCAAATATTTGGATTTAATTGTTTTAAGTTTACCTAAGATCTTAAGATACTTTTTTATCTGTTATCTTTGACAGTTCTGTATGTTGACAAGTCAGTTTAACAAACACTGATACTGACAGTTTACCAATTCAACAAATTGTCTTGTTTAGACTTTAAAAATGTTGATCAGTTCACAATGTTGACATTGCTCACAATGAATACAAGTAATATATGATATTTCTATTGTCAATTATTTTAGGGTTTTTATTTTCAACAAACCATGATGCGAATAAAAGACCCAAAAGCATCCTTGGAATTTTACACCAAAGTGATGGGAATGAGGTAATCTACCAGTGTGAAGAAGTTTTAGCTGGTCATATCATTGTACATCTTAAGTATGTCATTATCTGTTGACCTACCTTTGTAAAATTTACCTGCATTAGTGCAGGGGTAATCCTGGAGGAAGTCAAGGAGCCATTGAGCCCTCAAAAAAATGAAATATTTGGCCCCTATCTTTCCAATTTTTGTTACCTGTATTTACTTAAAATTTATGGAACTAACCCATTACTTGCAGTTAATATTTTCGGCTGTAACAATTTTCGCTGACCTGAATATAATAACAATTCTTGATAACAATGGCATCACTATTGGGCTTACGTATGTGCATGCAATTTTTTTGTACATTTGATTATTTTTATAAAATCATCAGTGATAACTTTAGAACTACAAGTATATTATATTTGTAATTTTAAAAGTGTAGAGGGCAAAATACATATACAGAAAATTTTCTTAATTATAAAACAAACAATCCTTATATACCTGTGAGGGAACATTGAAAGGACTAGGAAAGTTTTTACACAACTGGAATTTTTTATCAGGTTACTGAAGAAAATGGATTTTGAGGGCATGAAGTTTTCCTTATATTTCCTGGCCTATGACGAAGCCTCAAACATTCCTGAGGGTGAAAAGGAGAAGACAAAATATTGTTTTGAGCAAAAAGCAACACTAGAACTTACTCAGTAAGTCTATAAATTACTATTGAAAGCTTGAACATTAGTTAATTAAGTTCTTCTTTTGTGACACTTACCATTTGTTGTACTATATAGCCAATTATATTTTTGATATTTCAATTGACCACAAAAAATTCATCCATGAAAGAATAAGACACTGCAGCATTAGATGTCCTTTATATCCAGATCGCAAAAGTTTAATTCTTTATAATAAAATTTGTTTGTTTGTTTTAAAAGCAAATTGCAAAAAAATCCCATTGACCAGTGAAAATGACCAGCTCTGTGTTATTTGAGGAATCAGAATTGACAAAGTCTATCAAGTTCAGAATAGAAAAAACAGTTGCAGTCAAAAGGAGCCTTTTATTCATTAACACAGCAGCTTTATTTTGAATGATGTTACCACAAAGTAATATTGAGTCTACTATTTTTATTATCATCAAACACCTGTCTTAGTTAGCTTATGTATAAATAATGTTTTTAATGATTCACAAAACTGCTTGGTATGTAGATTCTTTGAAATCAATTACAGAATTTCATACATATTTCTTGTTTTTCTCTCCGTATACTTTAAGTTATTGCCAGTATCAATTTTGAAGATATTTTTGCAATTTTTGTTTTACATTTAATTATTGCCATCTTTTCCAGTAACTGGGGGACAGAAAATGACACAGAGTCTTCCTATCACAATGGCAATTCCACAAAGGAAGTTATCTGAAGGTCAAGGGCACTGAAAAAGTCAAGGTCAATGTTTACAGTTAGGATCTAACACTGACTTACAAAGTGATAAGTTAATGTTTACAGTTAGGATCTAACACTGACTTACCTGTGAAATTAGTTAATGTTTACAGTTAGGATCTAACACTGACTTACCTGTGAAATTAGTTAATGTTTACAGTTAGGATCTAACACTGACTTACCTGTGAAATAAGTTAATGTTTACAGTTAGGATCTAACACTGACTTTTGTTAACATTAGGATCTAACACTGTTAAATAATGTTTACAGTTAGGATCTAACACTGACTTACCTGTGAAATTAGTTAATGTTTACAGTTATGATCTAACACTGACTTATCTGTGAAATTAGTTAATGTTTACAGTTAGGATCTAACACTGACTTATCTGTGACATTAAAGTTAATGTTTACAGTTAGGATCTAACACTGACTTACCTGTGAAATTGGTTAATTTTTACAGTTAGGATCTAACACTGACTTTGAAATTAGTTAATGTTTACAGTTAGGATCTAACACTGACTTACCTGTGAAATTGGTTAATGTTTACAGTTAGGATCTAACACTGACTTACCTGTGAAATAAGTTAATGTTGACAGTTAGGATCTAACACTGACTTATCTGTGAAATTGGTTAATGTTTACAGTTAGGATCTAACACTGACTTACCTGTGAAATTAGTTAATGTTTACAGTTAGGATCTAACACTGACTTACCTGTGAAATTAGTTAATGTTTACAGTTAGGATCTAACACTGACTTACCTGTGAAATTAGTTAATGTTTACAGTTAGGATCTAACACTGACTTACCAGTGATTTTAGTTAATGTTTACAGTTAGGATTCTTAGTTAATGTTTACAGTTAGGATCTAACACTGACTTAACTGTGAAATTAGTTAATGTTTACAGTTAGGATCTAACACTGACTTACCTGTGAAATTAGTTAATGTTTACAGTTAGGATCTAACACTGACTTATCTGTGAAATTAGTTAATGTTTACAGTTAGGATCTAACACTGACTTATCTGTGAAATTAGTTAATGTTTACAGTTAGGATCTAACACTGACTTACCTGTGAAATTAGTTAATGTTTACAGTTAGGATCTAACACTGACTTATCTGTGAAATTAGTTAATGTTTACAGTTAGGATCTAACACTGACTTATCTGTGAAATTAGTTAATGTTTACAGTTAGGATCTAACAACACTGTGAAATTAGTTAATGTTTACAGTTATCTAACACTGACTTACCTGTGAAATTAGTTAATGTTTACAGTTAGGATCTAACACTGACTTACCTGTGAAATTAGTTAATGTTTACAGTTAGGATCTAACACTGACTTACCTGTGAAATTAGTTAATGTTTACGGATCTAACACTGACTTACCTGTGAAATTAGTTAATGTTTACAGTTAGGATCTAACACTGACTTATCTAACATTAAAGTTAATGTTTACAGTTAGGATCTAACACTGACTTACCTGTGAAATTAGTTAATGTTTACAGTTAGGATCTAACACTGACTTACCTGTGAAATTAGTTAATGTTTACAGTTAGGATCTAACACTGACTTACCTGTGAAATTAGTTAATGTTTACAGTTAGGATCTAACACTGACTTACCTGTGAAATTAGTTAATGTTTACAGTTAGGATCTAACACTGACTTACCTGTGAAATTAGTTAATGTTTACAGTTAGGATCTAACACTGACTTACCTGTGAAATTAGTTAATGTTTACAGTTAGGATCTAACACTGACTTACCTGTGAAATTAGTTAATGTTTACAGTTAGGATCTAACACTGACTTACCTGTGAAATTAGTTAATGTTTACAGTTAGGATCTAACACTGACTTATCTGTGAAATTAGTTAATGTTTACAGTTAGGATCTAACACTGACTAGTTAAAGGATCTAACACTGACTTACCTGTGATTTTAGTTAATGTTTACAGTTAGGATCTAACACTGACTTACCTGTGAAATTAGTTAATGTTTACAGTTAGGATCTAACACTGACTTATCTGTGAAATTAGTTAATGTTTACAGTTAGGATCTAACACTGACTTATCTGTGAAATTAGTTAATGTTTACAGTTAGGATCTAACACTGACTTATCTGTGAAATTAGTTAATGTTTACAGTTAGGATCTAACACTGACTTATCTGTGAAATTAGTTAATGTTTACAGTTAGGATCTAACACTGACTTACCTGTGAAATTAGTTAATGTTTACAGTTAGGATCTACACTGTGAAATTAGTTAATGTTTACAGTTAGGATCTAACACTGACTTATCTGTGAAATTAGTTAATGTTTACAGTTAGGATCTAACACTGACTTATCTGTGAAATTAGTTAATGTTTACAGTTAGGATCTAACACTGACTTATCTAACATTAAAGTTAATGTTTACAGTTAGGATCTAACACTGACTTATCTGTGAAATTAGTTAATGTTTACAGTTAGGATCTAACACTGACTTATGAAATTAGTTAATGTTTACAGTTAGGATTAACACTGACTTAGTTAATGTTTACAGTTAGGATCTAACACTGACTTATCTGTGAAATTAGTTAATGTTTAAGTTGTTTACAGACTTATCTGTGAGTTAACACTGACTTACCTGTGAAATTAGTTAATGTTTACAGTTAGGATCTAACACTGACTTACCTGTGAAATTAGTTAATGTTTACAGTTAGGATCTAACACTGACTTACCTGTGAAATTAGTTAATGTTTACAGTTAGGATCTAACACTGACTTACCTGTGAAATTAGTTAATGTTTACAGTTAGGATCTAACACTGACTTATCTGTGAAATTAGTTAATGTTTACAGTTAGGATCTAACACTGACTTATCTGTGAAATTAGTTAATGTTTACAGTTAGGATCTAACACTGACTTATCTGTGAAATTAGTTAATGTTGACAGTTAGGATCTAACACTGACTTATCTGTGAAATTAGTTAATGTTTACAGTTAGGATCTAACACTGACTTATCTGTGAAATTAGTTAATGTTTACAGTTAGGATCTAACACTGACTTACCAGTGATGTTAGTTAATGTTTACAGTTAGGATCTAACACTGACTTATCTGTGAAATTAGTTAATGTTTACAGTTAGGATCTAACACTGACTTATCTGTGAAATTAGTTAATGTTTACAGTTAGGATCTAACACTGACTTATCTGTGAAATTAGTTAATGTTTACAGTTAGGATCTAACACTGACTTACCTGTGAAATTAGTTAATGTTTACAGTTAGGATCTAACACTGACTTATCTGTGAAATTAGTTAATGTTTACAGTTAGGATCTAACACTGACTTACCTGTGAAATTAGTTAATGTTTACAGTTAGGATCTAACACTGACTTATCTGTGAAATTAGTTAATGTTTACAGTTAGGATCTAACACTGACTTACCTGTGAAATTAGTTAATGTTTACAGTTAGGATCTAACACTGACTTACCTGTGAAATTAGTTAATGTTTACAGTTAGGATCTAACACTGACTTACCTGTGAAATTAGTTAATGTTTACAGTTAGGATCTAACACTGACTTATCTGTGAAATTAGTTAATGTTTACAGTTAGGATCTAACACTGACTTACCTGTGAAATTAGTTAATGTTTACAGTTAGGATCTAACACTGACTTACCTGTGAAATTAGTTAATGTTTACAGTTAGGATCTAACACTGACTTACCTGTGAAATTAGTTAATGTTTACAGTTAGGATCTAACACTGACTTACCAGTGATGTTAGTTAATGTTTACAGTTAGGATCTAACACTGACTTACCAGTGATGTTAGTTAATGTTTACAGTTAGGATCTAACACTGACTTATCTGTGAAATTAGTTAATGTTTACAGTTAGGATCTAACACTGACTTACCTGTGAAATTAGTTAATGTTTACAGTTAGGATCTAACACTGACTTACCTGTGAAATTAGTTAATGTTTACAGTTAGGATCTAACACTGACTTACCTGTGAAATTAGTTAATGTTTACAGTTAGGATCTAACACTGACTTACCTGTGACATTAAAGTTAATGTTTACAGTTAGGATCTAACACTGACTTACCTGTGAAATTAGTTAATGTTTACAGTTTAGTTAACACTGATGTTTACAGTTAGGATCTAACACTGACTTACCTGTGAAATTAGTTAATGTTTACAGTTAGGATCTAACACTGACTTACCTGTGAAATTAGTTAATGTTTACAGTTAGGATCTAACACTGACTTATCTGTGAAATTAGTTAATGTTTACAGTTAGGATCTAACACTGACTTACCTGTGAAATTAGTTAATGTTTACAGTTAGGATCTAACACTGACTTACCTGTGAAATGTTTTAGGTAACACTGACTTACCTGTGAAATTAGTTAATGTTTACAGTTAGGATCTAACACTGACTTACCTGTGAAATTAGTTAATGTTTACAGTTAGGATCTAACACTGACTTACCTGTGAAATTAGTTAATGTTTACAGTTAGGATCTAACACTGACTTAACTGTGAAATTAGTTAATGTTTACAGATCTAACACTGACTTACCTGTGAAATTGGTTAATGTTTACAGTTAGGATCTAACACTGACTTACCTGTGAAATTAGTTAATGTTTACAGTTAGGATCTAACACTGACTTACCTGTGAAATTAGTTAATGTTTACAGTTAGGATCTAACACTGACTTACCTGTGAAATTAGTTAATGTTTACAGTTGTGAAATTAGTTAATGTTTACAGTTAGGATCTAACACTGACTTACCTGTGAAATTAGTTAATGTTTACAGTTAGGATCTAACACTGACTTACCTGTGAAATTAGTTAATGTTTACAGTTAGGATCTAACACTGACTTACCTGTGAAATTAGTTAATGTTTACAGTTAGGATCTAACACTGACTTACCTGTGAAATTAGTTAATGTTTACAGTTAGGATCTAACACTGACTTACCTGTGAAATTAGTTAATGTTTACAGTTAGGATC